TTAATAAGCACATGTCAATATTGGATTTTATGTCACAGAGAAGCAGCACACTAATATGAGATGCCAATAGTAGAGAAAACTGGTGCATGATATATATATATACATATATATATTTGTTGCACGCTGTATATGTTTATTAATATTTCTGTTGATACCTCCTTAAATAAGTGAAATCAACTTTGCTTTAAGTAAAATAATTTGTCCCTAATTTGTATTCAATGCTTGGAAAATAACAATGTAAATGACACCTCTCACTGTTTGGTTGGAAATAAAGGAAAAGTGGCTAGAAGCCTGTTCTGGTGGAAAGTGGCTGGAAGGGTCACGAGTGTCAGGCAGCCTGTTCCTTCTGGATTACTTCCAGGCTCTAGTTCTCTGGCATGGTAGCTGAGGAGCATGCATGGGTAGACTCAGGTGGTAAAGAGCATCTCTGTTGCTCTCAAGAGCCCCCTGCTGGTCGTGAGTGCCCCTGCAGGAAGATTTTTTTTCTGGGCTCACACTGATGTTCTCTCACCGCATCGTGCACAGTAATACACAGCCGTGTCTTCGGCGGTCACGGAGTTCAGCTGCAGGGAGAACTGGTTCTTAGCTGTGTCAGCAGTGGTGGAGATGCGGCCCTTGAATGCCGCGTTGTAGCCCGTGTACCCTGACCAGTACCCCATCCACTGTAGAGCTTTCCTAGGAGGCTGGCGGATCCAATGCCGGGAGTTACTACTAGTGACAGAGCCCCCGGTGACAGTGCAGGTGAGGGACAGGGTCTCCCCGGGCTTCACCGGGCTCGATCCTGACTCCCGAAGTATCAGATCAGACAGCGCACCTGAGGTAAGGGGAGTCATGGTGAGTCTTTCCCTTCCCATCCGGGTCCCCGTAGACGACTAAACACCCCAGAACTCTCACCCAGAGGAGCAGCCATCAGGCACAGAAGGGTCCACATCGTCTGCATGTTACCTGAAGGTTGGAGACCTCCACACTGGCCCTGCTGGGGACAGAGATTTCTTCTGCCAGCACCCAGTGGGATTTGCATGCGTGTCCGCAGGGAGGGAGAAGAGGTTGAGCCAGGGT